ACACACCCCACCCTAACGAGTGCTCAACAAAGAGGCTGATAATCAGGAAATGCCGATAGCTAGGGGGAAATTGTCCGAGTCATTTCTCACTGAAGTTAGGAAGAGAGAAGGTGTATTTGCTCTATAGCTCTATAATGTGCGAGGATTCAATTGAATTCTCATTTCGTAATTCTACGTAAGTTCGGTGAAGATCTTTTCGGATCGATTTTCTTGTTGAGGATTTGCTTCTATTTTAGATTTTTTCAAACTGTTCTTCGTTTTATTGTTGAGTTTTTAGATAGATTATTAATCTAGCGCGTTAGTTCTGGTTACATTTAATAAGGTTCGGCGAAATATTTCTTCATTTTTTGTGTTTTCTCCGTCTTTCGCTACATTTAATGTACCAATGTTCTATGATTGTGTGATATATATCTGTTTGTTTTCCATTTAAATGTAATTGAATAAGCTAACTGTTAAGGTACTTAGGTTCAGTTTTATTTGACCAAATGTGTCAACGAAAAAACGTTCTTTTCTTTGTTATATTTTCCTGTTCACTGTAGTATCTAGATCGAATGAATTGAATGCGAGAACAAAACAACTTCAACAAGTTTTGAGCTTGTTGAAAATCTACTCAGTATTCAACTTTGACTTGAGATACACAAGACCTGATTAGAGGAGACGCTCAGAAGACAGGAAGAACCGGTAGGTGAATAGTTAACTCACCGTGATAGACCAATAGAATAATTACATAAGTGCATTAATGCACTTGTGGATATGTGTGGCTTTCAGTGCCTTGTCACGCTCGGTGTGCACACATCGCGTAGCGCTCGTGTGCGTACGAAGCATGGTGGCACATGTACCGACTCGTACGGGTTGACGTGGGATATTATCATTATACCAGTCAATGGGAAAACAAAACGATCGTACTTTCGAAATAGGAAATTCAAGCATGAACTCTTCAACCAGTTTTCAAAATCTACTGAGTCCTATATATTGACGATCGCCTAAAGCAACAAAAAAATGTGCACCTGGAGAGAGTTGCTGAAGTAAAAAAAATGTGTTTCATGTCCGAAATTGAAGAATTTCACTCAGTCTTGACTCAACTTTCAAAATGTTACGCTTCAGGGAGATCATAAAATTGACTGACTTAGATGATTGATCAACTGAGGGATTCATTTTTCGTGAGTACATCTAGCTACCAACCCAGTAACAAGAGAAAGAAGAAACAAGAGGAAATATAGCAAAATAAAAAAGACACCAACTTTGTTGCCTACCGATTTCAGAAATAAATGTGCTTGGCACACGAAGCGCCCAGGCTGCATAATTTTTGGATAGGAACGTTCATCTAACCTTTCCATCTGTGAATCTCAACTTCTGATGGGTACCAAGCAAGTATTTCTGGAAAAAATGCAACCATCTACAACGCCATCTAGACGGAAATTTTCCATTATTCTCAGAAATATTTGAGCTGCACCCCAAAAGAACTTCAGGTTCATAGATAGAAAAGGAAGGCAAATTTTTCTATCTAAAACTATTCAACAGATGTGCTTCATCAGGCAGAGTGTATTTCAGGAGACCACGGATCATAAATCATTCGTTCACATATACTTGTTAGAAGTGCAGACAGTACAATTAGTATTCTATTACCGATCAAAACAAAGAAAAAGATGACAGATTGTTTAAGCGAATTATCAATTGAATTAATTCACAAGATTATGGACAATCTAGCAATGCACAATACTCTGACATCGTTTGGCATCGTCAATGAACGACTTCATTTCGTATCTGTCATCTATCGTCGATTTCAACTTCATTTCAACAATGTTAAAAAATGACAACATTTTGACTATTTCTGCAAACGTTCGTTTGGTATATCATCTCGAATCGTTTCAATTAAATTTATGAACCGACATGATGTCACAATGCTTTTGAAGATCCATTGTTTTTTTCTCCGATGTCAATACAATTTAAGATAGATTTTCTAATTTGTACTCATTTAATCTATCACCTATTGACCTAAAACTTTAGAAGTCAATGAAAAATCGAATGAAATCAATTGACACACTCATTTCTCTTTCTATTCATCTGTCTACTACGTTACTTTACAATGTTGCGTGTCAATTAACAACAGATATACTACGAGATCTAATCAATTGGTCGTCATCGTTAAACTATGTTTATCTGGAAGCTAATGATCGATCAATTGATATTTTTCGTTTCAATCTTTGTGAAGAACAAACTTCTTCAATGAAATATTTAACTCTACGGCATATAGCTATCGATACCAAGCAATTATATTCGATTTTACCTTGTTTACATTCACTTGTTACCAAAATGACGCCATATCATCACATTCAAAATATTTTCTTGTATCCTCTTGAACATTTACAACAATTATCTATTCATGTCAATCGTTTCCGTTTCTTGACGATCGAACAGTTATTTTATCCGATGACACAGTTAAATCATCTTGCTATCATCGGTGACCATATGTACAATGATGTATGTGATGGTGTTGCATGGGAGCGAATATTAACTAGAATAGTTATGTTCAAATTCATGTTTAGTTTTGAACAAAACAGTCAAGTTCAAGAATAAATCAAACTTGAATAATGTTGCTCATCGTTTTGGCTCGAACATAAACGTTGCCATGTTCAGTGTGATCGATGTACTATTGGCGAATTTTCGTTGCTCTATTCAGTTCCTTATTTCATGAATACATATCCATGATTTCGTATGAAAGGATCGATCGTGCCAGAATCAACTGGACAACAATCATTATCATTTTTTAATGTCAATCATTTGATTTTTGACTATGAACGATCAATAAATAATGAACTTCGAAATCGATTTACGAATATTCAACAACTGACTGTTTAAGATTATGAAAAAAAAGTTTTCCGATGTTAATTCATGAGATCGTTCCATACATTGACTAATCAAAAATGAACACTTTGGTCATCGACCAATGTTGTTCAGAAGTTGATGCCGATGTTTTCGTTCAATTTATACAGGGCATGTCTCATCTACGTTCAGTTACTATTCCAATTAATCTTCTCAGAGTGTTGTTTGCTGATAAAGTCATTGTATCGTTTTTCATGTTTTATTCTCGTAGGGATTACGCTACAAACTCTTGAGTATGTTACAAATATTCTCACGAGCATTTATGTTGATAATCTTTCAGTCTAGGGACACGTGAATTGGCATCCGATGAACGTTATTTGTTTGTAAGGTTGACCGATGTAATGAATATTCCATATTAATTGATACAGAGAAGTCTAATCTACAGTGCTACATCTCAGAGATTTCTTTCCACCTGAACTACATAGTAAGTCTAAATAATGACAGGCGTCGCATCAACATAACTTTCCTGATTTTCTGCTTGTTGTTATAGGACTCGGACCAAACAAGAGTTAGAAAGCAACAAATCGAAATGATTGTCCAGAGCATTTCACTTTTCCTCTTCCACAAACCAGCCGTGTTGATTTCAGCTGAATAATGAATGAGAAATGATTTTTCTAAGCCCCATTTATATTTCGGGATTAAAATGGTTAGTTTTCAAGTTGTTGTTCAACTCAAGAAACAAACTCAGAATACCACTATCCTGCGTCGGTTGTTTGCTGTGTCCGCCAGCGTTTTTGCATGGCTTCCAATCAGCATTCCATTTATTAACTTCATTCGAGAGTGCACCGACAGGAGATAGAAAGTGAGGCAGACACGATGAAAAATGCCTTTATCTATTTCTTGCAGCACTTTTCCTCTGCCATAGTCCTTATGCTCAGGAATTTGTTGCAAGACTTCATTCCCACTTATAGTTCTCGCTTCTCAACTTGCTAATTTTTTCAAAAAAGTCATCGTCGCCTTCTTATTCGAAATGAATATTGATTTTCCCAAGATTATCGAACATCCTCTATCTTATAGCGGCAATCTTGTTCCGTTTCGAGAGAGTCAATGTCATCCATAAATCTGAGAGGTTCTCATTGAGAACAAGCAGAGATCTTCGAATATTTTCATTACAGAACGACAGTACACCCTGTTGAAGCTCGCAGAATTCTTCATCAAATAGGACATTACTCGATTAATTTTCATGAAGCCACTGAGTGGCTACATTGTACTGAAATTCCCAGAATGCTGTAGATAGACGGTTTAGAAAAATAGCTTCACTTCGCAGGAAACTGAAAAGTTCTTTTCTGGTTCTTTGATCTGATGGGATTGAACAGATTCAACTCTAGGTATCGACATGCACTGTAGAATCTTCGAGCTTCAATCAACTGAGAAATGGAATACTATCCAAAAGTCTCAATACCAGTGTGTCTCAATCAGATTTCCACTTGTAAATTTCCTAACTCTAACTCGCAATGATTGAAAAAACAACAATCTTCTACAAAGTGCAACCAAATCGAGATATACTGGAAAGCAAAATTGAGATGATCGATGCGGGTGTATTCTTCTCAATTAAGACTGAAACTTGAAGCATTAACACCATTTCGAACATTTCTTGAATCGAGTCAGATTCAAATTGATACTTGAATTACCATTACAGGGACTCCTTTTGAACAGAATTATCTGTCGGTACTGATGAAGACTGAAATAAGAATTCTCTTTGTTCTATTCCATTTTCGAGTACATTTCGCATTCCTTTCACTAATCCTTTCGTTCTCACAATAGTTTATTTAGAAAAATGTTAAATTTTGATATGAAATCTGTAGCAAAAAATATTGATGAGCAAGTGCTGGTATGGGATAAAAACTAAATAAGTCCATTTCATTCTCTCTCGATACGATCAAGCAGAGCTGTACTATCGAATTATCAATCGGATTCTATGATGATTCCAACGAGATATTTGAGTCAATGACTGTAGATCTGATAATTCCTTTTGTAACCAATTGACAAGCTCATCTTCTGTTGAATTCTTCTTTCGCTTGTCATCGTCACAACTCACGTAAAGTAATCGCAGATTTGGCATTGTTCTAACCAGGTAACATATTGATGTTCGATGTATTACACGAATACGTCGTTCTTCACAATATAAAAGAAAGAGAGGAACGACTTAATCTCACACATTGTTGTTCATCGCATGAATCCTGTGCTGATAGATTGATCTGTTTTATCAATGCATTCCAGGCTTCTAATGGTAGATTTTGTAAAGGATCGTCTCTCCAATTCATCTTCTGGATAGCTAGTAATGGTATACGAGATGCACGAGACAGTAAGAATTCAAACTCATTTGTACATTCTTGACTCTCGTTACTCAGTATTATTTCGAACCAAGTTAAGCGATCAAAAGTCAGAACCATTGCCCAGAAATGGTCACTGACAGGGAATCGTATACGAAGTTTTTCTAAATTGTAAAGTTGTCTATTAGGTAGTTGGGAACGTGTTGAAGACGAAACACTGTATGTTAGTTGACGTACACGATTATATGATCGTTTGTTCTTCCACTCAGAACAGGTGGACTTCTCGAGTAATGAATCTCTGACGTCACTCTCGTTGAATGCATACGGTAAAATGTAAAGAGAAAGAACACCCGTGTCTGGATTCCCATCACATTGAACAAACCAGTGGCTTTCATCAAGCCAAAATGGACTTCGAAATGTATTGAGTAGTCGATCACCACTTTCTTCCATCATTCCTTCACCTAGACGATTAATATTCATTTTAAGATAGAGTGTTTTGAGTTTGGGCAAATGATTCGAAATGAATTGTTGCCAGTCATGTCCATCGAAATTAGAAAAACCATATATTTTCAATCGACGTAGATTGGGTATCGATTTTAAAATATCAAGGAGTAAAGGACGACTTATAGAATATTGGAATATTTCAAAAGAAGTTATTGATGGAACAGACGACGTTAGTAGAAGTCTGTCAGAAATATATAACGAATATGGTAAAGAGAAATGTTGAAAATTTGGTGTACATTTAAATAGACGAGTCAAATTTATATAATGCTTACTAACCAAAGCCAAGATAGATTTATGTGTAGTACTTGATGATGTCACAATTGGGTTATTAAAGTAAAAGCTAGAGACAGCCAGGTCAAACTGAGAACCATAGGTGTGGTTGTGAATGCGCGTGTGAATGTGAGTGGAGATGAGATGCACGCAACAGGGGTGGCAGAACGTTTTGAAATTGGGTGAGGCTCAGTTTAAGTTTCTTCGTTTTCATACAATAGTTTTCGATGTATCAGCATGAGGTTAATTGAGGAACTTCAGGTGACATACCGTTTCAAACTGTATTATTCTGTTGTTGTCAAAAACGTACTGCGCTACCTTTTTTGTACTCTTTATCGGCTGAGTTTCTAAATCTTGAGTGGAAGACAAAAATTTCAACAAGCAATAAGAATCATTGATTTTAAATTAAAACATAAGTCAAAAAGAAGTTTGTCTTTTATTATTAAACAATATACGTGTTGACATTATTTGTTCTTGATCTAGTTCATCAATTTTTTTTTTTACAAATACAGCTCATGTAAATTGAAAGTATACCCTTTGATTTTTTTGCTTTTATTACTATACGTTTTCTATCTATTAACCTACTATATATATAGAAAGAAAGCCCAGTATCCGCTACACCTTTTGGTATATTTACGTTGAACATCAACTGCAGTTTAAAGTACAAAAAGTGTATTAGAAGAAAACGTGACATTTTTTTTCTTTACACGGTAAGCGTAATGTTGTAACATTTTTTATTTCGCATATATCTCGGCTTAGGTAGATGATAAAACCTTGAATTGTTTTCCAAAAGATGCGTGATGAAAAGCTCTACACAAGCTGTATGATCGAATTTCTTTTTACCTGTTCTAATGGTTTTCCTAGTACTCAAAATGAACCACTTACACGGTAGTGTCACTTCCCATCATACTGGAAGTGTTGGAAGACTTTTTGTTCTGTATATATCTCGACTTGAGAAAATGACAGAATATTGAATTTTTTTTAAACATGTGCCATCGAAAGCTCTACAAAACGTGTATAGACCCAATCCTATAGCGAATCAGAGAAGTCCTCAAAATATTATCTATATGGTGGGAAGTGACAGTACCGTGTAAGTTGTTTCATTTTGAGTATCAGAAAAAACATTAGAACACGTAAAAATCAATTCGATCATACAGTTTTTGTAGAGCTTTTCTCAGCGTATCTTTTGAAAAAAATTCAAGGTTTCATCATTTACCTAAGTTGAGATATATGCGAAATAAAAAATCGTACAACATTATGAACATCCGGTTTTGTAAAGAAAAATTGTTACTTTTTCTTCTAACACACTTTTTATACTTTAAACTTCATTTGATGTTCAACGTAAATATACCAAAAGATGCAGCGCGTTCTGGGCTTTCTTTCTATATATAGTAAGTTAATAGATAAAAAAAAACGTATAGTAATAAAAGCAAAAAAAAAAAAATCAAAGGGTACACTTTCAATTTTCGTAGGTGTGGGTGTTGGTGGGTGTGGTTGTGAGTATGGGGTGTAGGGTGTGGTTTGTGGGTGTGCGTTTATAAAGTGAACGACGTCCACATCCACACCCGCCATTGCTTCCTGAATGCTTTCAGATGCAAGCACTTTACTCAACGAAAATAGTGTAGCAATGAGCATCGTGAACTTGTCGATGTTCTGGAGTCTCCATCACGCAAGCCAATGAGATAATCTTTTGGTCGACGAAGGATCATGAGTCGAGCTTCCATTTAATGCTGAATAATTGATAATTACTCATATATTAGCCTACAAAGAAAAATAAATCAGTAAACATATTTTTCGCTATTTTTCTGCCAAATGGAGCAATCACCTTCGTTGGTCAAGTTTTCACTAGAAAAATCGTTTCAGACGGTTTGAAGTCCCTAGAAAAAAACAACACTTAGCTGCCTTCAACGAAGCACGCTTTATCATAGATGAAGTTGTTGAGAATTAAATTAAAAAGTGCATCAGATAGTTTAAAGCGTGGGAATCTCGAATAACTGCCCTCTAAAGTCTTAGCAAAATAATGTTTCTATAACATTTTATAAACCGTATTCTTATATACCATAGTTCTCTACAAAATTTCGATGAAGAACTGTATAGAAGTTTAGAACAAAATATTTTCTATCGTTCTCTGAAACTCTAAAGCCATCTGAAACAAACTTATCAGCTTACTCTTGGTACATGGAGAGGATCGCTCCATTTGGCAAAAAAGTAGAAAAAACATAGGTTTACTAAGTAATTTCTACTTTTAGGGTAATATATGATTAATTATCGATCTTTCAGCATGAAAGGGTAGCCTAACTCGTGATCATTCACTGGCTTGTGTGACGGAGATTCCAGAATTTTGATAAGTTCACGATGCTCATCGCTGCACTATTTTCGTTTAGTAAAGTGCTTGCTTTTACAACTTTCAAGAAACAATGAAGAAGTAATGTAGAATATATTTGCAAAATTTCAGATTGATTCATCAAACTGTCGCTGATTTATTCAGTGTTCTTTGACATTCTATGGTTCTCTTTTCATATCCATGTTTTCAGTAAAAAACAGTCTAGTTCGTCAATAGCTTGATCAACATCGATAAAATTTGTGTCAGAAATAGCTATAACGCAAGGCTAAAAAATGAAAGATTGGATACTTCAAAAAGCTTATCTGTTGTCGAGTTATAAGATTCACAGTGATTGTAGGTGCAAGAATGGTTTTTCACATCCAAAAGTGCTATTTCCAAAAAAAGATCAAAATATGTTTAATTTTGCAAACTTTTTAAGCTTACAGTGTGTAAAATTTAATTGTCAGTAATCTACGTATTAGCATTTAGGATAATGATAACTTAAGGCTAACGCAGTGACATTAATTAATTCTAATACAAATAATAACAAAGCATTAGCTTTAATAAATGCTTTTCTCATACGACACTCCCAATGGCAGCTACGAGTTATGTTTATTTCATTGTTATTGTTTTTCTTTTTGTTTAGGACTGTTCTTTTGATTTTACGTTTATGATATAGAGCAGTCGATTTATGATGTCGACATTTTTATCTTTACGTAGAATAAATCTAAAAGATTTCCAAGGATTCATTTTATTGTTTGTAGCACAGTATTTATTTATCTAGAAAGTCATGATTTTAAAGTTAAGTTCGAAACAGAGACCGAAGACGAATCGAATCGAGATGGCTTTATTCAGTTCGTTCTCTGGATCAAGAATATATCCATCAAAAACAGAAAAAATTAAAATGTATTCAATCACAGTTTCATAAGTACGAACATAATTCAGATAAAGCAAAATAATATGCTAATTATTTTTTGCAGTCTTTCGCTGAATATCACTGGTCATGATCCTATTCTGACTCCCATTAAGTAACAGTTAAGTGCGATCAAGGCAAAAAAAGAGACGGAATGAAAATTGTTTGCTATAAAAACTAGCCGAGAAATCCGGAACAATGGCTCGAACATTCAGCTGTAAATGTGTAATTGATATTTATTAACTTAGCTTAATCTTGTAACGTAAAACTGATAATTGACTATAATAAGTCACATAAATACAAAGGAAAAGAATAGTAGTTTAGGAATTATAATTAAGTTCATCTATTTGTTGAAAACAAAAGTACTAGTTGCGAATGTGTAATCAAATGATGCAGATATATACTAAAAGTTAAATTGAATGTTTCAATACAAAGAACAACATAAATTGTTCGCAATACTTTCTTCAAAACACGACCAACATCAGGAAGAGATTCTGTAATTGCTCGTCATTTTTTCTTTTGTTTACCTTTCAAATGCTTTTTGAGCGTGGACACGCTTTTCAAGACGTCTGAGTCAATTTGTTTTTAATTTCTTTTATTTGAGCAAAATATTCAAGTGGTTTTCTTTTTCAGTTGATAATAAACCTGTTGATTTAAGTTGAATGAGTGATGTGTGGGTATGGATGTCGCATAAATAAAGATCCACGCCCACACCCTCGCATTCATGATGCTATACATTAAAGTAAATCATCCATGGAATATTCAAGTGTTAAACTAACATATCTATTTCAAAAGGGTTTGTGTTAATTATTTTATTGAAAAAAAGATAAATTTAAAGCATAGTTCTCATTCGATCCTTTAATGCAAGTGTTCATTTAAATATTCTTTCCATTGTCAAATAATGACTTTCAAAATGTGTTCATGTTCGTGTACTTTATTTTTCTTTTAATTCAATTGTTGTTATCACTCATGATTTTCATTTGAATCTTCATTATTACCAAAAACTATTGAGAAACTAATTTTCCAAAAAAAACTGATACAAAATCATATTGATTTGAAATATTGATTTCAACTAGATGATAACCTTGTATTTCTTTTTATCTTCTATTACTTATTTAGTAGATTTTGTATTGAGTCAACTATGTGAATAGCTTATAGAAGTACTAATTATAATAGTGCTATAGTTGATTTCGGACGAAATCATTTCTAAGTGAAGATATATAAGAAGTCAAAAGTAATCTATTCGCTTTGAATGAAATAAAAATAAAATTTATTGTTAATTAACTCGTTATGAATTGTCATGGCTATGATGTTACTTTATTTGTATAAAGCTAAAAATGTGCTTGCTCTAGATTATGTTTTGAGCAATCATTCATATACGAGGATGTTATATGGTTAGATATTTACAAAGAAGGTAAGGTCTTGAATTGAAACTAGACTAGAATCGTTAGCATTGATTTTTAGTTTATAAATAAAAATTAATGATTTGAATTCCAATTCAATCTCGAACATTCTTTTTGTTAAAGTCTCGTTCATGAAGAAGACGATAACAAAGTGTGAAGCTTTCTATCATCTATCTATAAAAATTTACTTAAAAATGATTGTGGAATGTTGTGGATGTGAAGAATAAGCGTTGGTGTAAGTCTTCTGTTCTGTCACAATCTCGACCACATGTGTACTTAACAATCTATTCTAAGAGGGCAGCCTTCACTTCTGTTATATGTTATTTTTGAGATAAAATTTAACTTTGACTGTTCTGATAGAAGAATCTTCATTTGAATTATAATTGTTATTGAGATAAAGGTTCTGGCTACATTAGTGCAAATGAAATTTATGAAAACTTGACTTATTTTCGCGCTCGAATTAGGTATCTTGTCTGCTATAGATGATTCAACAGGCATGGACGTGACTATGGAAGATTCATTTATCTGCACTATGGTACTCTTTTATAAAAACGATTTGTAATCAATGGAAGTGCATGATCGCTGCTGTCATTTATTAGAACATTGTAAAAAGTGTATCATACTAGCAAACACAAATTTTATAAGATCGAATAATTTTATATTTGACAAAAATAGCATCGTATTCACATACGCTTCCACTAGCATAACGCTTACTCATCGATCTCAAAGAATTAGATTGTTTACTATTTTTAGTTTTACATCAGTAAGATTTATGCCACTTAATGCGGTTGATAGTACACTTAATCTTGTGTATAGATAAGCAGTGTCAATGACCCCAGTACTAATAGCATTTTAATCAATTTTTTTCTAACCAAAAGACCGATTAAAATCAATTCTTTCTTCTACAACACTATTCGCTGTCGACATCTGTCATTCCCGTAAGAAAAATCTCTCTGTGATGCACTGGATCATCCATCTCGAGTCCTATCATATAATCACACGTGTTCTGATTTTATTTGCGACGATTTATGTGATATTTGAACTACTAGAAAAAAAAAACAAAGAACAACTCGTGTATGATCAACCAGAAATGTGTAATAGACTATTATGTGCATCACGTTTTATTTCTGTCTTATGACAATTTTTAACCTCTTTATTTTATCGCTTATCATATTGTCATCGTTACAACTGACAGAACTATAAATATAAGTGAAGAAATGTTTTGTGCATGCATGCAGTTATTTTTATTGATAACAATATCGCCAAAAGTCACCTTTATAATCTATCAACAGTTGTACTGACGTGAGTATGTATGTAATTTTTCAATATTGTCACATATTCAAGAAATCAAGGATGTTGAAGACATGCAGAGAAATGTGGGAGATATCGTTTTGCATTTAAGCACATAGATCTATTAAAGCTAGTTTAGTATTTCGCTGCAACTTATCTATAATATATGGTTTCCTAGATACGTAACATCTCTCAGATTTAGAGATTATGCTCGTGTAAGTAATTGTTAATCGTACAAGGGTATGCCATAGAGAAAGAATACATCAGTGTAATAAAGTTTGATTCTATTTTGAAAATTATATTTAGATTATGACAATGAAATCTTCTCCACGTATCCGGGTCACCAATCAAAAGAAAAATAACGAACAAAGAGTCAATCTCGTAATTTTCAAATTCTTTTTTTTTCATTAAATAAAATATATTTTATAAAAATTAGTTTGAATTGCAATCTGAGGATGATTGGACTCGCGCAATTCATCATAATCTCAACATAAAACGGCGAACATGCACTACATTTATTTCAAACCCTTCAGTCTCTAATGATCCGTATGTTATCAAAGAATATAATAGTTTTTTATTTTAATGAAAAGAAAAACTTTATTTTAGTAGTAAAAATGAAAATGATATTCCATGTGGTTGTAATCGTCTTCGTCGTGAACATTCTTGGGATGTTTTTGAACAAAAAAGATGTTCAGTGGAATCGGAACGAACATACAAGATCGGCCTGCAATAATGCATATGGATATATACCGAATACTCATGCACATTATATTCGATGTGATATTAAAACACCTCCAAATATTCTTGCTAAGTTAATGTTTGATGTATGGAAAGTTAAAGACCCACAATTAATAATGTGCATTATTGGAGGAGCTAAATATTTTAAATTAAATGAACGACTTGAAAGAGAATTTCTGAAAGGTATTATTCAAGCTGCATTGAGAGCAGGTAAAGAAAAAAAAGTTTGTAAAGATAAAATCTATTTGATTTATTTTCAAGATGGTTGGATTATAACAACAGGATTTAAAACAGGTGTTGTACAACTTGTTGGTGATGCTATCCATGATCATAGAGTAACTAATCCACTAAGTCATATTACTGCTATTGGTTGTTCAAAATAGGGTGCAGCTAGAAATCGAGCATCACTCATATTAGTAAATGTTTTAAATTAATATTTATTTGTAAATTATTGAATTTTATTTCTAGTCAAAAAAATCAACTAATTTGATTCAAGATACAACAGTGGATACCTCAAAGAGAACAAAAGGTGAACAAGATCTTGAACCGAATCATACGCATTTTTTATTACTTGATGATGGAATTTATTATGGATATGATATTGGAGATTATCGAACAAAATTTGTTCTCGAATCTTCACATTATAAGAAATCAGATAATGGAGAAAATGGTACTTTTACAGTAGCCACAAGAACTTTAGCCTCCAAGTAAATAGTGCATAAACTTTAATCTTTTTTACTGATATATTTTGGTTACAAACAGAGCTTAGTAAATTCTCATCGCAGGCAACGAGACAAGATCAATAACACTTGATATAAAGAATTTGCAATTAAAACATTATTTTTTCTTAGTATTAAATTAAGCTTTGCATGTATGAATTCTGTCATAGTTAACGTACTCCAGCGCGCTGTAATCTTGGGGTACGAGAGAAGCCATCATTCTTTGAAATGGTCTCAGCATCGATTTCTTCTAGATTGATGACGATGTTGGTGAAATTTTCCAAGCGAATAGTTAAAACTAGTCAAAGATATTGATCATATTTTGACGATTCTCGTTAACACTTATATGAAGATCATGCAAAGATTTCTTTATACATCAAGCAAACAAAAACTATTAATCATGGAATTTTTATTGATAATACAAGCATTATTGAGCTATTGAATGAACGGTCTAACATAATTAGATTTGTTTTAAGTATTACGATATCCTCGTTGGAAGAAGAATCTATTCTAATCGTCTAGTTCCTTCGCATGGAATCTAATAAAATCCTGCTTAGTTCATGTGATCAGTGTTCAAAATGCTCTATTTGTAGTCAAACTATAAGACTAAAGGATCGAAGTTTAGGTACTTTTTGCATGGTAGCAGAATTTGTCGTCTTCTTATTATTTATTAACATTTTATTTAAGTGCCTATTGTGACTATAGTCGTTGAAGGTGGTCCAGATACATTATTAACAATTTATGAAGATATTTCTAATAATATACCGGTAGTATTAATTGACGTATGCATTTCTATTTATGTCATAAGAATATATATTTTGATCGGATTTCATCTACTTAGGGTAGTGGTCGAGTATCTAATCTTCTTGCTAATTTTCTTAATCGTA